TAGCTGAGAAGAAGGGTTAAACGAGTTTTAATAGGAAGTGACCGTAATTTTCACCTGTCGAGTTTCACTTCTAACCTGAATTCATCATTGGATCTGTTTGTAACAGTAACATATCTGTTCTTGAAATATATATTTTCTTATTTAAAAGTTATAAATTTAAAATCATCAATATTAAAATTTTCGAAAATATTCTTACTATTTTCTCAAGATTACAGAATTAAGTGCTAAGAAAATATATAATAATATTAAAAACACGAGTTCCTCAGTGTATGATCAATAACCGGCATCACGTGTATTTTCAAATATATATCTTTTCTGTATATTGTTATGCACATAAAATATTAAAGATTATTTTTTAGAGATTATTTCATAAAAATATTAATATAGATTACAGAAAATATAATATATGATAAAATATTTTAAATAAATTAATCATGTGGCCAAAAAATGTTGGTATTAAAGCATTGGAAGTATACTTCCCTGCTCAATATGTTGATCAAACGGAATTAGAACAGTTTGATGGTGTTTCTGCTGGAAAATATACTATTGGCTTAGGTCAATGTAAAATGGGTTTTTGTAATGATCGTGAAGATATTAACTCTTTATGTTTAACAGTTGTACAACGATTAATGGATAGATATGATATAAAACCTGAAGATATCGGAAGATTAGAAGTTGGAACTGAAACCATAATAGACAAAAGCAAATCAGTTAAAACTGTTCTTATGCAATTATTTGAACCATATAATTGTACGGACATAGAAGGAATTGATACAACCAATGCTTGCTATGGAGGTACTGCTGCTCTTTTAAATGCTGTATCTTGGATAGAAAGCAGTGCTTGGGATGGCAGATTAGCTTTAGTTGTTGCTGGTGACAATGCCGTATATTCAAATGGAAGTGCTAGACCAACTGGTGGTGCTGGAGCAATAGCAATGGTAATTGGACCAAATGCACCTTTAATAATTGATCGTGGAGTGAGATCATCATGTATGAAACATGTATATGATTTTTATAAGCCAAACTTAAAGTCTGACTACCCTATTGTAGATGGACAATTATCAATTCAATGTTATCTTAGTGCATTGGATACTTGTTACCAGACTTATCGTAAAAAGGTGATAGATAAATACAATCATAATGTGACTTTAGATAATTTTGATTCATTTTTGTTTCATTCTCCATATTGTAAATTAGTACAAAAATCATTAGCTAGATTAGCCTTTATTGATTTTTTGAATACATCTAAAGAGGAAATATCCAAAAAATATCCAGAATTAGAAAAATTTCATGGTATTAAACTTGAAGAAACTTATCTCAATAAAGATATTGAGAAAGCATTTATAAATTTAAGTAAAAATATTTTTATGCAAAAGACACAACCTTCTTTAATGATACCAAGTCAAGTAGGAAATATGTATACCCCATCTGTATACAGTGGATTAGCTTCTTTATTAATTAATAAATCTGTAAAAGAATTAGCAGGAACCAAAGTGGGTGTATTTTCATATGGTTCAGGATTTTGTTCCACCATGTATTCAATAACAATAACAAAAGATTATAATGAAAAATCTGATTTAGAGAAAATTACTTCTTCACTTTCTTATATTAAACAACAACTTGATGCTCGTCAAAAAGTCTCTCCAGCTGATTATACAAAAGTGTTAGAGTTACGTGAACAGAATTGTCACACTGTACCATATACTCCTCAAAGTAACATTAAAAATTTATTTCCTGGAACCTATTATCTTGTACAAGTGGACGAAAAATATAGAAGAACTTACAATAGAGTATGAAATTTCTGTTAATCTTTACTATTTACTTATTAATTTTAATTTAATACAAAACAACAAAAAAAGTAAGATTAAAATTACTAAATCAAAAAAAAAAAAAAATGATGCATAATTATAATAAAATATTTTCATTAAACATGTTTTTATAGTAATACATTATAAAAAGCTGCATCAATAATACTAAAAATTAAAAATATATTATTTTTAAATCTTTTAAATATCTTTTAAATATATAATTTTTAATCTTTTTATAAATATTAAGATTTGATTAATATAATTTATATAATATATATTAATTACTTTTATAAAAATATATCTTTTTGTATATTTATTTATCACACTTTTTAATATATTATATCTTTTAAATTTTTTTTAGTAAAAAAACTATAATCATTGTGCTTCATATTGAATATTAATATGGAAATAAATAATACATTATGCTAATTTATATGAAAAGTCCTTTAAAAAAATATTCCTATGTAGTATATATTTTTTAATATTAATCTATTAATTCTATAAATATTAAAAAAGCAATAATAAAATATTAAATTTACACACACACACACGCGCGCGCGCGCACACACACACACACACACACACACATTTCTGATAGTATCTTATATAGCATGTATAGTTTTTATGCACATATTAAAAAGTGCCTTAATAATAAATTTTTTTTCATAAAGTTACATTATATATATGCGTGTGTATATACGTGTACATAGGAGAATATGTACATATAAAATAATATACCAAAATATACCGAAAATGAAACAAATTGCATATAAAAAAAATTATTCAATATGTTACATATTTGTTATATATTTGTTGATGCATATAAGTTAAAGATAATTACAAAATATTACAAAATATTAAATTTTTTTTATATATTTTATTAAAAAAGGGAAGTTTCTAGAATATATATTGTAATTTACAAGTGCATATTTATTTGACAATGTCTATATAAATGTTAATAAATAATTATTATTTAATATATTGTTTAATATTTATTTTCATATTTTATGTTATGTATATTTTATTTATTTTAATTATACAATAGATGCAACATTATTTACATTTTAGTAATTATAATATTGTAATAATATTACAAAATAATAGAATAACATTTCTTTTATTTAAAAAAATATATATTATTTGTGCTCATTGAGATTCATTTCATTAAAAATAAATATAAGCATGATATTTTGCTATTTATAAATAGTTGAAGTACATAATTGTTATTATTATATCAAATTATCAAAGCTAAGCATTTATATTTACAAATGTATACATTTAAAATATTCAATCTTAAATCTCTAATAATATTCTAGAAATAGTAATAATTTTCGAAATTAATACAAATCCATAATGTGTTTTGATTCTATAATTAAATAGTCACAAAATACTGGCTTAGTACCATAATTATTACTATTTTGTCATTATCAACTCATTTTTTTTAATATCACATTATTTGAATCGTTAGAAAAATATTGTACATTATTCTTTTTCATTTTATATACAAATTTAAATTTAAAAAAGATATGTATACCACTTGTTTAAAAACCATTACTTAAAATATTTTATATGAGCAGCTTGAACAGGAAGATAATTTTCTACTTGCACCAAGTCTAACAACTTCATCTTCGTTAGCATTTATTTGGCGATTTTCATATCGTCTCTAAAAAAAAAAAAAATTTATTCTTTAATATAATTTATAATATGATTTAAATATTTGAAATATTTATACATTATATATTATTATATAAAAAGTAAATGTTTACTTTAAGCTCAGATGCCAGATAAAAAAATATGGAATCTATATTGGTATTTTCTTTGGCTGATGTTTCTACTACTTGTAATACTTCAGGAAGATATTGGCAAAGAGCTTCTGCTTCACCTTTTTCAACTTCTCTGAGACTTTCTAAATCACATTTGTTACCTATAGGATTTTCATTTGTTAATAATTAACATATAGATTATAATTTAAAAAAAAAATGAATGAATCTCACCAATTAAAATTAATAACACATGTGATGAAGTATACCTTCGTACTTCTTCAACCCAATGTTGTAAACTTAAGAATGTAGATCTTTTTGTAATATCATAAACTGAAATATATTTTATTTTAATGATCTATGATTAAATGAAAAATAAAAGTTATATTTCTTACATACCAACAATAACACCATTAGCAGATCTATAATAACTTTGAGTTATTGTACGAAATCTCTCTTGGCCAGCTGTATCCCATATTTGTAACTATTACAATATTTTTAATAGTATATATTATATATATCATATATTTTATAACATTAACATTATTAAATTTATAAGACAATATTATTTGTATAAAATAATTCAAACTTTTTTTTTAAATTTATTTTATATATCGTATATTAAACTAATAAATTATTATAATATAATACATATCGTTTAAGAAAACTTACTTTTAAGATGAAAAAATTAAAATTACAAGTTTTCAAATAATTTTATTTTAAAAAAATATTAAATCTCGAAAATTTATTTATAAATAATTTTTAGGTTAAATATTAAAAAAATAAATAAATAATATTTTACTGATCATAGATCAAATAAACATACCTTAACTTTCTTGTCATCAATTAGTATAGTTTTCATGGAAAAGTCTACACCAATTGTATTTCCATGTCTTTCGATAAATGTACCAGATCGAAATCTTTGAACAACACATGTTTTTCCTGTACCACAATCACCAATAAGCACTATCTTAAATAAATAATCGAAATTTTCATCATTTGTGGTTATTAAATTATCCGGATCACGGTTCGACATTTCTCTTAATCGTCGAAATAGTTTATAAAATCGACGATACTTTGAAATCCGCACATCCAAACCATCTGGTTACTTACGCCATTGTTTCATTGAACTCGATCACTTTTACGAAATTTTTCAGTACAGTTAGTACATATAATGTATTCATTAAAGCTAAATTTCAATATTATTATTTTTCTAATTTAATTTTATATATAATATTGTCTTATATTATGCGAATAGAATTGTTAATTTTTTATAAAAATAAATTCTAGCTTTAATAAAATTTAAAAAAATATTAATATAAGAAATTTATTTTCATTAAAAAATTATTAATGGCATATAATACAATGATATGGATGTGACATGTAATTTTTATTTTCAAAAAAGAAAATTTTTTTCGACAAAAAGAGCATATTAGAATATTACATACATTTATTATAAACATATTTTTATATAAACGTATTCTATACCTAGTAAATTATAAATATAATAGAAGTTACAAACATTACTTTCCAGATGTGAATTTTGAAAGGCCTTCTAATAAACTAACATATGCTGTATGTTCATAACTTGTACTAAGATCAATTAATTTTTCTGCAAATTCATTTGAAATGCCTTTTTCTTCAAGATAGTTCATCAATAAATCATATAGATACTGAAACAAATATTGTATTTTTATATATAAATGTAAAAAAACAGCATTAAACTGATCATAAAAATATATAAAAAATTATTGTTAATTCTCAAATAATTAATTTTATCAATGATAAAATGATCCTATATTCTGAGAATGTTTTGTTTTTCCAAAGATTAATTATCAAATTGGTTAGTGAATATTCCAATTTGTACTCAATTCCTTGGTTTACTTATTATAAATATATAAGCAACTTTAATAATATATTACTTACCCCATCAATAATTTCACCTGCAACAGCATATACTTTGTCAGTATGTTCTCCTGTATATAAAGTGATTTCATCTATACCAAAAATATCATCTGAAATTAAATAATATCTGTATGAAGAACATATTCATTTCTAATTATATAATAATGCATATTAGTATGTTATTGTATAATATATTTATTATATTACTGACTGTAGCTTTCATTGGCACCTGATGCACCAGGTTCATTATTAAAAGAACAAGTGAATCCAAGAGTTTGATTTCCTCTTATTATATCTATTGTGAAAGATGGTTTACTTTTCATATCACCAATATCTGGATTATCATTTGTCATTTCAATATTAGGTTCAGATTCAGAATCAACTGTATGATTTATATTAAATGAAATCCTGATTCTATAAAAAAAAATAATTAATAAAGTAAAAAGTATATATTTTCTATACAAAATAATTCATGTTTTGTAATTTAATATTATTTTAGTATGATAAATATTTTTTTTTTACATTTCATTATCTTGCTTCTTTTCTAAATTAACATCTGCACCATCAAGTGATACTTTGAATCCATCTAATTCAGTGGGAATAGTTTTTAGTTTTTGGGCCTTCTTTTCTGCTATAATTTCTTCTGCTAAGAATTCCACAAGCTCCTTTTCAGCTAATAAATAAAAAATTATAATAAAGCAGAAAGATAATAATATATTAAAAATGTTTCAATATCAATTAATGATTAAAATACATGAACTTTATATTATTAATGATAATAATAAAATGTATATAATATACTATTAATATACATATATCGAAAAATATACTTAAAAGTATCGTTATAAATATACGATTTATTACTTATAAAATGATAAAATAAATTACGATACATTAAATATACCTTTTGAGTGAGAATTCCTGCAACAATTGTAATTACAAAAAACATTTTGATGTTTAAATAATTTTATCGGAACAATAGATGTAATTTGAGTTTGTCGAGAAACATTCCATAGTGTTCTTAATTGATTACATGTAATTCCTTTACTTGAAATTGTTGAAAATAAATTTTTAATTATCGATGAACGCAATGTATTTCTTATAATTCCATTCATTTTAATTATTATTACTATCGTCCTTTTTACTATTTGAATCCGTAATACCCGCAAAATGGTTTTCTTATAAACCAAGCACGAGGTAGAATGAATTTCTTCGTCACAAAACAAAAAACGTCTAGTTTATCCTTCCAGAACGAACTTTTGTATAGTGATTTCTAGTAATTTTCTGTTTGAAATAAAGATTGGAATTGATATGGAGAAGTTTTATATTTGATGAAAACTAGACATATATTTTACTAGCATCTTAATTTCATATATTCTTAGTTAATAACCGATAGAAAATTTCATATATTCTTACTTAATAACCCGAGGAAATTATAGGAAACATTTGCATTATTGTGTAAAAAATATTAACTTAAGAAACGTTCCTTAAGAAAAATCGTTAATTTTATTTGATATTTTATTATTCATTATTTTCATTATTGCATAAAATGTATTCGCTTACTGAAGGAGCATTAGACGTAAGTTTCAACATATTTATATTTTATAATTATTTTATTTTATAATTAATATTTAATTATGATAATAAGTTCTATTTAATTTTAGAAAATTATGAATGGTATCGATGTTGATAAACCGGTATTACAAATATTGGTAAATAATTTACTTAATATAATTTAATCTTAAAATAAAATATTTCAATATAAATGTGATAATTATATTATTATTTTATAGGGTCATAAAAAATTATCTAGTTCAAGTAGTGGAGAACGTTACAGACTTCTTGTATCTGATGGAAAACGAGTAAATTCATTCACAATGTTAGCCACTCAATTAAATTCAATGATAACGGATAATATATTAACAGAATTTTCTATTTGTCAAATAAATAGATATGCTATAAGCATGGTAAATAATGCTGGCAAACAAAAGTATGTAATAAATATTTAATATTTTTCATTTGATATAATTTTATTTCATTATTCATTTAATAAAATAAATAAAAAGAAATTATTGAATTTCAGACGAGTAATGGTGATATTAAATATTGATTTGAAAGTTCCTGGTGATGAAGTTGGACATAAAATTGGAAATCCCACAAATGCTGAAGCTGATGGTGATTCTAAACCACAAGCACAATCTGTACAATCTGCACAATCAGTTCCTCAACAACAGAGTAATATAAATTAATAAATTAATTAATTAAAAATTGCATTAAATGTTATATATTTGGAAGCCAATAATGAAATTACTCAGGAGCAGAGTAGTATTTTTATTCTAGAAATTGATTTAAGCTTGAAAAAGATAAAAAAATAGATTAAAAAAGAAAGTAAAAGGAAGCAAAATAAATTTTTTTGCCCATAGTATTTCTTTTATGTGCATCTATTTTTTTGCTCATGTTATATTTATTCTCTTTTTTTATTTATTGATGAGATTCTATTGAATTCAACATTTAACCAAGTTAATCTTAAAGAAATTTAATTGAGCATTATTCTAATATTATCTTTATTATTATAATATTTTAATTTTCTAAGCTAATTAAAATTATTTTCAGCTAATTTAAAGTCAAATCATAATATGCAACAATCTTCTACTAATAACATATCAACAACACCAATTGTTGCATTGAGTCCTTATCAAAACAGGTATGTTCAATTATTTTTGTTTTAGTGTTATTATTATTTCATAATATATTATATTATTATATATTCATAATATATTATATATTATTATTTCATAATATCTTGAACAATTATTTATGCAGATGGGTAATAAAAGCACGAGTTGTTAGTAAGTCTAATATCAGAACATGGAGTAATTCACGTGGTGAAGGAAAATTATTTTCCATGGATCTTATAGATGAAAGTGGAGAAATTAGATGTACAGCATTCAGAAATGAATGTGATAAATTCTATGATATGCTTGAGGTAATTATTACATATAATTATTATTTAAATTTAAATTTTTCAAATTGTCTTTGAAAATCTTATTATATTTGTTATAGATTGGGAAAGTGTATTATATTTCCAGAGCAACTTTAAAACCAGCAAATAAGCAATTCAACAATTTGAAAAATGATTATGAGATGACTTTAATTGGTGATTCAGAAATTATTCCATGCCATGATAGTGGAGATGATATTCCATCTCTACAATTTGATTTTGTGTCAATAAATGACATAAATAAAAAGGAACAAAATGATATAATGGGTAAAAATTAAATTGAAATAAATATGATTTATATTATATTAATCATAATTCGTTTGTTATAGATATTCTGGGCATTGTAAAAAATTCTGGAGATTTACAAATATTAACATCACGAAATTCAGGTAGAGAATTAAAGAAACGAGACGTCAATCTAGTTGATGAAAGTAATACTATGGTAAAAATTTCATTACATGATTAAAGAATTTATTATAATTCAAATAATATGATAATTAAATAAATTGTTAGGTAACACTTACATTATGGGGATCACAAGCTGAAGAATTTGATGGAAGTAGTAATCCAGTTTTAGCTGTAAAAGGAGCACGTATTACCGAATTCAATGGAGGAAAGAACTTATCTACTCTTAGTTCAACAGTTCTTCAAATTGATCCAGATCTTCCAGCAGCACATAGGTTATAAAATTATGAATTTTTAAGAGAAATATTGTTATAAAAAAAATTATATTATTTCATATATACATATAAAATAATTCTATTTTTTATTTTAATTAGATTACGAGGTTGGTTTAATACAATGGGTCGCAATGAAGAAGCTACATCACTTTCGAAACCATTTGGAAATACAACTGGAGTAAGTGAATTATGGATAACATTTCAGGAAGCAAAGGATATGGAATTGGGTTATAAAAATTCTGATATATATACAGTAAAAGCAACTCTTAATATGATACGCATGGAAAATGCTATATATAAAGCTTGTCCTTCTGAAAATTGTAAAAAAAAGGTAATTATTTTATATACACTTTTATAACTATAATAAAATTTATTATTCAATCAAATTTTATAGTTAGTAGATCAAGCAAATGACATGTATAGATGCGAAAAATGTGATAAAGAATATCCTAACTATAGATATCGTTTACTTGCAAATGTAAGTGAATTTTTTTTTGTTCATTTAATTAATAATTAAATATTTTAATTGTTCATTTAATAATTAAATATAGAAAATAATTTTAAATAATCTATTTAATAATTTTCTAGATAAGTTTGGCTGATTGGACAGATAACCAATGGGTCACAGCATTTAATGATGAAGCAGAAAAAATATTAAGTAGTACAGCACAAGAATTAGGAGAATTAAAAGAAAATGATATTGATGCTTACTCTGAAAAATTTAGTGAAGCAACATTCAAAAGTTTTATATTTAAAATAAGAGTAAAAGTAGAAGTTTTTGGCGTATGTTATCATAATATAATTTCAATAATTTTTTATAAATTTTATAATTATTAATATGTTTAATTATTTACAGGATGAGAATAGATTAAGAGCAACATGTCTTGGTGTATCTCCAATGGATTATAAATTATATAATAATCATTTAATAACTCAAATTAAAGAACTAGTTGGTATTGGTAAAGCATAATGTTATTTCATTGTTTATAATTTTTTTAGATATGTAATTATTGTGTATGTGAATTTACAAGAAAATTTTTATTTTTAAATATATAGGTATTTTCTTATATTATTAATTCATGTAATATAAATAAATAATGTAATCACAAAAAAAGATATATCTTTCTATATAAAAAATAATAAATTATTAACATTATTATTATTATTATTATTATTTGATTTATTTTAAGTCAATTACTGAAATTATTAATGACTATTGAAATTTGGTAAAACATTTTTTTTAAAATAAGAGAAATGAAGAACGTATATTCAATTGATGTCCTATATTTTGTATTGATAAAGATAAAAATTGTAAAATCTCGGTCATCTTCAAACTGTCGTAAATAAATTTAAAACAAACAAAAAAAAACCAAGAATAAGAATTAATTATTAGCATCATCTGTTAAATATGAAAGATATCAAAGATAGGATAAGATAGAATAAAAATTATCATTATTTTAAATCACAAACTAAATATAAGACTCTATAATATTATTTATAGCATTCTAAAAATAAATGATTTCCATATTTTTATATTATTTTTATTTTTTTTTCACTATTTGTTCTCCTTCTTAGATAATGTTAATTTCCAAAATTAAGATAAATAAGTACTCTGAAGATATAATAAATAATTTTTATCCTATCTTTGTCTTTTTTCTACTTTGTATTTTTTTTTTTTGTTTTTTTTACCTAATTAATAAAATTTTGATTTATTATAAAAAATGTAAAATAAATATATAATATAATATATATAAAATTCTAAATATTTTTTTAACATTTTGTATCTAAAAAAAACATAATTTAATAATTTGATTCAACTTAATTATCATTCGTAAATTATTGGCTTGAAAATTTTGCATTAGATTTATAGTGCGCATGCGTAAACTACTTACCTTCGTAAAGCGCTAAAATGATGTGCTCGTCGCAGTACAAATTGAACCTTCGTGTCGAGAAAGTTGTTCCTCCCGTGTAAAAAAAATTTTCATTGTTATTCAGAACAGAATGGCTATTTGTAAGTACATTTTTATATAATTTATTATAATTTATATTCTTTAAGTGAATGTTAAAATTTATTTTTTTTATATGTAAATAAATAAAATTAATTAATTATAATATGATAATTAATTCATTTTGATATGAAATTTGTATAATCATTATTCATTAATATTTTAAATATTTTATTTTATGTTTATAAAATAATAAATAATATGGAAAACATTAAAGATAAATGTAAATGTTATTTGAATAAATAATTTGACATAATTATTATTAAAATATAAATATATATAGAAATATTCTATATTTATTCAATTTTATTTCTATGAAATTTATAAAAGTAATTTATAAAAATTTCATTTTTTCTTTGTATTAAAATCAATTAAAAAATATTGAAATATCTGTTTGAAATAATATTTTATTATCAAACTACTTATCAAACTAGTAATTATTATAAAAAAGATACTTATAATATAAGATATTTGTAAAGATGTAAGATATAAGATACTTATAAAATATTGAATTCTTTTTATATTTCTTTTTATATTCTTTCTATATTTTATTTCTATATAAAACATTATTATGATTTCAAAATTTATTTTTAGATATTATAGCATTTAATCGTAGCATTTAATATATTAATAAAATAATTATATTAATTCAATAAATTATTATACTTTAAGGCAATATTTTAAGAAAAAAAATAATATAAATATGATTAAAATTTTCCAAAAAATTATTCATTTTTATCGATCAAATCAAATATTAAATTTCTAATGTATCACGATAAAAAAAAAAAAGAAAAACAAATATAAAATTATGATCCTCTCAAATATATATAAAAAAACTTTTGAGAATATCGATTAAAGTAATAAATAGATAAAATAATAGTTGTAACTTATTGATAAATTATTGATAGAATTGTTAAAAAGAAAAAAATATTTTGAAAATTTATATATACATATACATAATCTTTTTTCTAGTATCTAGTTAAATAGAATATATGAATGTAGTCGTGCCGGTTTGACAAGCCAGCCGGCCGGCTTTCTTATTAGCTGTAAGATTTCACAAATTTGTACTTCATGCTATTTTCATTAAAAAATAAAAATGTCCTTATTTAATCTAGATTTCTTGAATCTTGTAAAATATGAAACAATATTTCATTTTTCTATATAGAATACATTATTTTATGTCTCAGTATTCAGAATATAAACAAAGAAACGATCTTTTGTTTTTTGACAAACTTTTTTTATAGCAGGAAAAATATAACAGAACTGTTATATAGAGATGATAAAATTATAATTTTGGTATTACATCATTTCTATAGGATCTTTTGTATTACGCAACTTGTATTTCTACTATTTCTTGTGAAAAACCTTTGTTTATTTTTTAAAATTTATATAATATATACAAATTGAATTTTAATTATTTAAAAGGAATATATTTCCATTTATAATTATGTTATTACATTTATTGTATAATTATGTCATTACATTTTGTTATTAAAATTTTTTTTAGTATAATTTTTTTATTAAAAGAAAATAAAAAAAATTTATTATAAGTTTTTCAAATAAGAAAAATGTACAAAAACTTCGATTTTTTAAAGATATAATTAATTATTTAATTTTAACAGTGTTTTAAGTTAAACATATTTTTTATATTAGACTGTTAGATTGTGCGACTTACTTTGTTGGCAAAGGAAGAGTTGCTATGCGAGGTCAATGACAGTGAAACAGGTAGTAGGATTGCTAGATACGACTAAATCTTATTATGATGGAACATAAATGAAAATGAAACATGATTTACATTCATTAAAGATATGACACACAAAAACTTAATAAAAAAGTTGTATGTATATTTCCTATAATATATCAAAATACTTACGTTCATAAAATGTTAATATATATATATA